TCTAGAAATGAAATTAAATCTTCACTTCTCAGGACTGTACATGTGAAAAACCTGGGAAAGGAGTCTTTGGAGGGCTATTGGCCAATGCAATTGAGCATGATAAAACTACTTAAAACTATTTCGCTTTTGCATGGTAATTACATACACTTAGAGTCAATGATAAAGTGTAATAAATGCTATTTGTTTCTATGTCTAATAGTCATCATTATCAATGTTACAAAATATGGAAGAAGACAAAAACCAGATATTGTAGATATGTTGATGATAATAGACTGTTTGATAGCAGGAATATATTTATGTGTTCCATGTGGTCATATGTAAATATATTTCAATTGAGCAGAGTTTTAGGTCATATATAGCTTTCTATAAAAAGAACAAGAATCAGATTTGCAGAAAAGCAGCAGTTGGGTGTAATGCAGATGAGAAGCAACACTGTCCCCTGTGACACCTTCAGGTATCCTGAGCTGAAAGTTACAGCTAGCCAGATCTCACTCAGGTGTTTACAGGGCAACTGTGTACCTGCTAGCCACTACAGTGCTTTATCACGAATTATTACTATTCAGACACTATGTTGCCTGCAGTTTGTAGATACTGAAAGAATTTTAAGAGGGACATAGTCAGAATTTCTCAGTATAAGACCAGGAGCCAAACATTTCACCTCTAACAGAGACTTGCTTCATGGCTTCAGAGAAAATATCCACTCTCCCTTCATTCTCTCTGTAAATGAGGGCTAGGATTTGTGTCTTGTGGGATGTTGTGAGATTAATTTTTTCTTGCATGCATAAACTGTTTTGAAGGTGGAAAGGTCCAAGTCCTGTTGTCCTTCACAACAGCCTTGAAATTACAGCACAAGTGGAGCAGACCTCATCTCTCCTCAGAAAGGGGCAAACAGCTTGGAACTCATCAAGTACTCTATCCAGCTAGGACAAATACAATTTTGCAGTCCACTGATTTACATTTACAATGCCAAGTTTTATTTGATTTATTTTTTTAATATCTATGTGCCACAACACCAACTTTTTTTTCCTTTTTAAATGAATTGTCACTGGCATGTGGTCCTCATTAGTTGAGAGAGATTTTCAATAATTTAAGACAAAGGATCAGCAGGCAAACAAAACAGGGCCATTTTGGACAGCACTGATGATGCAGGCCATAATTGTTTTCTCCTTATGTGAGAGAGTTCAGGATTTCTGAGCATATTGGACTACTATATAGATGCATGGACTATGTAAGGAGGCCTCAAACATACACATTTAGGGCCAGAGTTACACATCTGCATCCCAGGTGTTGTTTTCATAACTCTTAACAAGTAATGGTAGCAAATGCATGACTTTTATGCGGAGAGAATTCTGTCCTCCCATGTGACTCTCCCTGCACTCCCCTAGCACTATGTGCTGCCCAGCACAGTCCTGCAAAGCATCAAGCCAGAATCCTCCTGGTGTTGAAAGGCTGGTGCTGAAGAGTGGATCCTGGTTTGGGATCCTCTCCTCAGAGCCTGGTTTGGGGCCTTTACACCAACTGGGTATGTACCCTTCCAGCCTCCCTTTAGCTGGTGTATGGGTTGCTGTCATTGATTGTGGCCATGACTAAATAGTGCCTGCCACAACTGAATGAGCAGAGAAGCCTCAGGCAGGAGGGTACAGGTGTTGTCTCACCCAGAGAAAGCAGGCTATTGCAGCTGCCACCGGCACTGGGAGAGGTGGAGATGGCTGGGGAAGGAGGAGGGAGAAGGGAGAGAGAGGGAGTAGCCACTGTCGACAGGAGCCATGCACTGATACCCTCTAAACTGTTGGAAGAAGGAAAGTTCTGGCTGATAATAGAAAGTACACACAATTCTTCAATGTTGCAAAGAGAATTTGACCTATCAGTGATTACAAATATAGGGAAACTTGCATTGTCACTGCTCACTCCAACTGGTGCCTTTGGGTGAATGGAAGATCAGGCTGTCAGCTCCTATGAGCACTAACTTTTCCCAACAATGGCCCCAACTATTTCAGTTACAGCCAGTCAAGTCCCATGACATCAAATATTAATCTGGCACAGAACTTGGGCTGTCCGAGTACATTTTATAACTAACAGCGTATCAAATCCTTTGGACCTGATGACATTCGCTCCTTTGTTGTCACATCAGTCAGTCACTTTAACCCAGATTCTCAGTCGATTCAAAGGAAAGAAAACGGTGCTTCAGAGAACTGACTGCCACAGAAGTACTTTAAAAACATGAAATGAAGGAAGGTAGGGCCAAAACTCGTCACAAAAGATCCCACCATAAAATCAGGAGAGTGCACAAGGAGCCTTAGATGACCTCACAGCAAGAGGCTGTGGTGGTGATTTTGCAAGGAAAAAACAACTCTTAAGACAGTTAGCAGAGGACTGAGCATATAAGCATAACACATTAACAAAACCACTCCAATTAGCTGGAGGTGGGGGCAGGGAATGACAAAAATTAGAAGAATTTTGGTCTTCTCTGCACAAGCCTAGAGACAGTGAGAGAAAATTATAACTTGACCCTAAATTATTCAAAGGAAGCAAAGAAATAAAATATAGGCTAAAGAAGAATCCTTCCTAATAACCGTAACTAAAAGCCAAAGCATATTAACATATGAGGACTGGAAGGTTCAGAGAAATAGCTGGAAGGGAATTGCACTCCTATAGCCATGGAGGAAAATGTAGGAACTCAATTCAGTAATATACCTGGCATGCCTCAAGAAAGGGAAAGTTTCTACATTGTATTAGCACCACTCTTGACCTTATCATGTGCAGAATAGATGGCTCAAGGAACAGATAAGGAATAAGAGGCAGCTTTTTTAATGGTCAGAGGGATTTTACCAAGGAGTTTTCTTTCAGAAGGTGTTTCTAAGTGGGCTGGAGTGCAAGAAAGGGTTGGAAGCCCAATGTGATCATTCTCATTTGCAGAATTGCCTACCAAATGATGCTTAGAGGCATAAGCTACTCCAGCTATGGACAAAAGTGTGTTTTCTTTAAGACACATCAGCATACATTCTCATGAGTGCCTCCCCAGTTCTTGGAAAACTGGTAAGAACCTTTGATATTTCCAAAGTTAGGTGCAAGTACCTGAGCCTGAACTGTTTATATTTAAGAACAAAAAGTCAGCAAATAAAGAAAAAATAGACCTGAACATGTTGTTTAAGGATGTGTCAGAGAACTCATGATGTCATGTGAAAAGCTACTTCTATGGCAATGGAGTGCAAAATCCAAATGCTGCTAAAGCTTAAAAGTAATTATTGTCTGGAAGGACTGATAATCTTGTGTCTGTTCTAGCAAGTGTTTAAACAACCAAGCACACTCATCCACAGGCCATCTTAGTTGCTACAGCTTCAGCAGCAAGGACAAAGGCAAAATTAGCATATGGATGGAAAGACCCTCTCAATCCTTGATATTGCCATTACAGGAGTTTGCAGCATAGTAGTCAATGCAGCAGTTATTCTGCAAATGGAGAGCTCTGGTCTAGTGCTGTCAGTCTCACACCCACTGTTCATGAACACCTACATTCCCTTTAAAAATAAAATCGTAAGAGCTGTGAATACAAATGTGCAAAGATTTTACTATTTAAAGGGTTCTTCTGGAGAAACTATGTCAAATATGTAGCTCTTTCTAAAATGCCAGTGATGCCCAGGATTACTCGTTCTGCAACCTTTGCTTTCTGTGTCCAGCAGATGGATGAAGCTCACATCTGGTGTAGAGCTACCCCTTCTCTCAACTGCCTGCCTCCTGCCATGCTCTGCTTCATTATTGCTTAGGCAAAACCATTTGCCAGGGACTGGGAATTGCATGGGTTTCCAGCTGGCAACTTTAGTGGTTGCCCTGAGTGACCAAAGCCAGTGGCCTGGGGATGAGCAGCAGGAGGTGCAGGAAGTGTGATCACTACTTCAGAGGGATGCTCCAGAAAGGGAGAAGCAGCTGGAAAAAGAATGCTGTGGACAAATGCCACCCACCCTGGGAGCACAGCTTTCTGGAGCTCTCATAGCTTCAGACAAGTGCGGTTGCAGATTATCACGTTGTGAGGAGTTGTGGAGGTGCAAGGGGAGTGGAGGGAAGGCAGGATGGTGGAAGATGAAAGTGGAGGCACTATACTAGGCCTGTAATGGTCTTCAGAGGTTCAGGTGCCCTCTTGACCAACCCTTTGCTCAATGTATGTTGGTGAGTTTCAGTGGACATTTGCACAGTTCTCAGCTTTCTGAAGAAGTGAGATGACTTCCACTTATGCACTACTGTTATTTAAGGAAAGCAGGGTGTTTGAACAGGAATGAAGGCATCAGTATCTGATATCCCTTTCACCGGTAAGCCAAGGGCATGAATGGGATGTTCTGCCAGTCTCAAGGCATTAAATATTTCTGCTCTGACTTTACACCAGCTCCGAACAGTTGTTAGAAAAACCATTAGCTGTGTAGATCCAGAAATTAAGCCAAATTCTGTCTCCAGTGAGGCCAGTCATAAAACTAAAATTGATTTCAGCAGCAATAGAAATTAGTCTCCTAAGTGGAGGTGAAGAGGGAGGAGTTGCATGGCAGTTTGCTACTGCCAAACAGTGCAAGTTCAAGTTAAATTCACTCAAGTTTGGGACATATTGAAACTTAGTGTGTGAATGTGCATACAGCACCAAGGCATGGCAGTGTGGTACTAGGAGACCTAGTGTTGGTAGCTGCTGGAAGTGATTTCCAGACTTTCCTGCAGATACAGATGACTATTTTAGGAATTGAGGGACATGGACATCCTGGCTCCCAGCTGTGCATGACTGACAGTGTCTTCTCTATCTCATATCACTCAGCACTGATATTCTCTTAATTTAACTACTCAGACATATAGAAGTATTAAATGGCGTTTCAGAATTCTTTATTAAGATATATGCTTTCCACTAACTGCCTCACTTATTCTCTGATCGCAGTGGGGAAAAAAATCCTCCTCCTGGGTATTTCCTGCCTGTAAGACTACACAACTCTTAGAAATGGATTTTGTTCTTTAGCCTTTTTTCGTTTCAGGTTGCATTTAGATTGGTCTCAGGAAGATGTGCAAATCACTGTGAGTGCTCTTCAATGTACATTTACATTTTCCTCTTGGTTTTAAGGAAATGCACACATATTTTTCTATTTCCTCTTTGCTTTTTATTTCTTTGTAATTTTCCGTTGTGACCACTTTTTTAACGCATTATTTTCAGACTCCATTCTGCACCCATATGAAATAAGTAAGATTTTGTTCTATGCTAGACCTAAATTTTACATTCACCATTAATCTGAACTGTTTCTCTTAGACTGCATGAAAGGAATCTACAATTCAGAGTCCTGTCAGCTCTACGCTGGTAATTCAAGTCTTAGATTTGTTATAATCACCAACAGTAAATATTGTATCCATTTTTAGAGAATGATCCAATCTGCTTGTATTTCCTGATCTTTCTTCTCATTCCTTTGTTATGATATGTTTTCTGCCTCTTAATTGTTTCCTTATGAAATGGCCTCAGTCAAAGCAGTTACAATGAATAACATTCATTTCAAACTGTCAGCGTTTTAGTCACAGCGGATAACCATGAGCTGGTTACTCCCTGCCTCCAGTAGCACTCCTTAAGGCCAAGTAGTAAGTTCTGAAGCCTTGTTAAGTGAAAAACAGCAAAGACCAAACATCACAGGCAAAAGACAGCTTAGCAAATGTGATTTCTGTCCTTTTAGACAATAATCTCGATCCCATTTTTGAGTTCTGCACAGACATAAAATTTTACTTTCCTTTCATTGTAGCTGAATAGCATTAGGAATCAACTTTGGTTCTCTCCCATGAACTGTGTTTAAAACATCTTTTTTTTTTCAAATAACTTGGGAGGTGCCTTTTATGTTTTCAGTACTGAGGCTGCTTTATTGAAGTATAAATCCAAGCCCCTTCATCGAGCCCCTTAATCTGCTGGTTCTTCTGCATTTCCACAGCTCAGTACAGGGCTAGATGCACTTAACTAGGAGGTGTGAAGGAGCATCCTGGAAGAGATGGAAGCTAAATATATTCTGCTACAAGATTTCTTCCATTCCACTCTCCACCCCCAGATCCCAGAGACTACAATGGCTTATGCAGGGTTTTACATATGCAGCTAATGGTGGAGGGAGGAGAATTCCCACGGATAAAGAGCTTTAGCCCAGTACCAGCACAGCACACAGCTTGAATTGGTGCTGGGGTGGATTCTGAGGGAAAGCAATCCCATCACTGCTTCCAAAGAGAGGTCCTACACAATTAGTTTTAGGAAAGGATCTCTGGTTAGAAGGAGATCCTTCTCTACAGCTTTGATATAGGCACCTGGACAAGGTGAAGAGGGGATGGGATTTCATCTAGATCCCCTGCACTCAGTGTTTCCTTTTGCTTAGCTCCAAGGGGCTTCCCAGTTTGGGGAGTTTATTTTGCTTCAAACCACTCTCTAACACCCACTGCATCTAACACCTGTGTGCATCGTGTGACTTGCAAGTCTGAAGTGCCACGGCTAGTCCTCCTGAGGCCAGGTGCCTGTTGACACGCTTTCCATCTCTTACGAGAGTATCACCTTACTTGTGTTTAAGGAGCCCAACTCCATAAAAATACAAAAGAGTAAACAAGAGTTTCCTTTCATTTGCCCCTGATTCTACGCTTATATAATTCCACTAATTTCATTTGCAGGAGAACAAAACCAGACCCCTAGTCTCTTGGTAGAAATGATTTTACAGGGCTGTTATCCAAACCAGAAGGCTGAGCAGGAGTCTACTTCTCATGCACAAACCACCACAGCAGAAGTGACATGCAAAAGGGTTATTTTATTCCCACTCTACCTTTTTATGCACATTTATGTACGTTGTGTGTAGTGGGAGGGGGGCAGAAAACAACAGCTGAGCAGCCCTCCATCTTCCACACGTGATTGTCTAACTCACTGTTTTTATCTCCAGGTACACAAAAGGAAATGAAACCATTAAAAGGGATACCTATGAGCTGTAAACTCCGAGAGGAAGAAATTACTATCAGTTTGACAGGTTTGTCAGTGAATTACTTATTTATGTAGCTCAATAGATTTAATATTAATCACAGATGACAGACACAAGTTAAACATCTTTGCAAACACATGCAGTGCCCTCTCTTTTACTCGAGAATGGGTCAACTTAAAATTGCTTCTGGTAGGGGCACAGATAATCAAGTGGGAGAGCTGAAATGAGGACCAAATGAAAGCAGCCCAAATTGCTTTTAAAAGTCTCAAATGAGTATGCTGTTGGAAGTGCTATAAAAGATAACACAAAAGGGCCAGCTAAAAGTCGTGGCTCAAGCTCAATTTTTTGCAAGCAATCATAAATCTTAACTTCAGCAGCTTTGTGCTCATCTGGGGGCACTGGAAAAGTGAAAAAAAGTTGACCTCATCATCATATGAAGTTTCCAATTCCTGTCCTAAGTTGTCATTGGTAAAAGCCAGCAGCAAGAATTCCAGTTGTAAACAGTGATGTGCTGCCAATGTTTCAGCAAGGGTAGCCCAATTTTTTTCCTCTCTGCATCTGTGTGTAGTGCAGCCTGTGTGTGAGGGGCTCCATGGCTCCAGAGGAGAAGGATACAGACCAGCCCTCTTGGCCCTCCCTTCCTTTGCTTCTCTGGTGAAATATAAATGCCCTTTTTCAGGTGTAATTAAAAAGGGAGGTGCTGTAATTTGGCAAATAGACTTTGAAAGTCACAGGGTCTTGTTTCTGTGCAACTGCTATGGAAATAGGAGAGAGAAACCCTTGTCCTCTCTTGCACCCACTGCAACTGCACAGCATAAAGATGCATCTGCAGGTCTTGCACCCTCACGACTCATTCTCAGAGCTTGTAACCCTTGTCCAAACCATCCTTCTGGGAGAGAGGCGGGATGCTTGATTTTTGGGTGGCTGGCCGAGAACCATATGGGTACGGTTTCAGCCCTTCCAGCAAGAAGATATTCCCGAAATTTGGGGTGAAGTTCAGCTCATCCAGACCACCATGGATTAGGCTTTGGTGCAGAGCTGAAGGACATGATGCAGCAGAACAATTAGTTCCCTTCCAACACATCTGCCAAAGGCAGCAGGCATGTGCTTCAGCATGCAGCTCCCACTCTTACTTGTGGGATGGCTCTCTCAAATTTAGTTTTAAAAACATAAGGATTAGCGACTACCTATTAGCTATCTCACTACCTGCCTGCCTGTTTCCTTTGGTGCAATTAAAAATGTCTCCAGAATGCATAATAAGAGTCAATTGAATTTTTAAAGCATCATGTAGACAATGTACATCATGAGGAAAAATACACTTGGGCTGTGGTAGCCCATGACTGAAACAAAAAGAAAAAAGCTCTGGGTAAAGGAAATCAGAAAAAAAAGAGCTTTGGAGAGAATTTCAAGCATAGTGACCTCCCTTTGAAATGAGTCTGTGCAGTCAGTGTCTTGGAGAACCTTGAAAATGTTTATATATTTTTTTCTTGCTTTATATCTTTAAAAATATCCCACTAATTTTTTCTTCACTCTCAGGCCTAGTCAATGTTGTCATTTAAACAACCAAAGGACCTCTTCTAAACAATGGAAAAAAAAGTGTTTGTAAAACTGCGCAAATACCTATTTCCAAAAATAATTAAAACTGCTGTGGTTTCAGGGACACAAATGATGCATTTTGAAATAGGACTAAATGTTTATTTACATGAGAGAGCATGTTAGCTCTGGTCTACTGAGAAAATAATGGGCATTAAACGCTATAAAGCATACAGTCCACTGAATAAAAAGTAGATTATATTTTAAAAAAAGGTCTGTGGTTTAGGGATCTACTTTTGCTTTTTAAGCAAAACAACTCACTTCGAGACTTAGCAAAAGAATAACTATTTTGGTAAAAACTTATCTCTTTTGATTTTAAAACTCTTTTAAGGACTTACTTTAAACATAATGAAAAACAATGAGAGGGGATAATAAGTCACAGCAAGAAGTAGATTTATTGTGTCCTATAGAAAAGTATCAATCCAAAGTCTTCCTGGTGTCACTGAGTTGATGTAGTGAAGCTAGTGGTGGATTTCCTCCAGGCAGAGGATGTTCCCAGAGGTAAGAAAGCTATCTCATGCCCCCACCTGCCTTCATTGCCCAGTGAAGGAGATGGCACGAGAGGTTAGAGGCAAAGGGATGCAGCCTGAGCAGAAGAGGGCTGTGATACTTGACTGCTCGAGCAGCTAGCACTAATTTGAGCAGCCCAAAGGTCACGACTATTTATGCAGATAAAAGGTCAATGGCAAGCTGGCATGTGGCTGCAGGCTATCTTGGTACGCACTTCACCCGGGGCACTGATACAGGCTTCTGATTCACAGTTTGTCTTTCTGCATGAACTTTCAGGCCAAGCTTTGGCTGGGAAAAAAAAATCTCTGCCATGGGAGTTGACACAGTTAGGATCCAGATGCAATTTTTTGTGGCTCAGGCTCATCTGTAGCTAAATCAAACCTTTGAATCATTATTTATAAAAGCAGCCAAATTCTGAACTGTTTGCTCAGTATTTAATCAGCCCTTGTGTCCATAAACCCCTCTGAAAGTGTGCCTGAGTTACAGAGAGAGGAAAAAATGAATAAGATGCTCAGGATGTGACCTGCTGAAAGACAGCCAGTGAAAAGCCTACTGAATTCAACAGAGATAGGTTCTTCAGCTGCCAGTGTGTGTGGATTTAATCACTTTAAACATGTAGGACCTTAGAGCACAAGACTAAATGGCATGGCTTGAATTTACAGAACAGTTTCCGTTTAGGTGAAACAATGTCTATTTGAGAGAAAAAGGGAAGTAGATATACTATGTTTAATCTAGTCAGATTCTACACTATATTTGAAGTTTTATAGTCAATAAATGCTTAATCTTTTACTGTCATTAGAAAATTAAAATATATTTTAACATTCAGTTCCAGCAGCTGTCTGCTGCACTGATTTTAACCAAAATCCTTTTGCTTTCTGCTGTATATCAGTTCCATATGCTCTGATCTCCAGTAGGAAGTGTGCAAAATATTTTGTGACATTTCGCTACCCCAAAAAAAGGTAATGGGAAAGCATCATTACATCGATTTGCTTTTCATCACAGAGGTATTTGGCACTATGCCTTAATTAAGTTGCAGCAATAACTCTATTATAAGCACTGTTTTGCCTCCCCCGGTAATTTTTTAACTGCAGTTGCCTATTATTCTGTCATTTTTGCTTGTTAATAAAGAAAAAATATGTTAGGATGAGAACCTTCCATGTAGAAAGCCACTAAAACTAAGAGTCTTCAGATATAGAAAAGCGTATTTTTCTTCCAGCCATCTTTTCCTGTCAAAATGGAGAATTACCACATTCTTCCTCGACCACTGTCTTCCTAGATCTCCACATGAGGGGAAGTTTAAACAGTTGCTTGGATACATTTTGTCAAGTTTATGAATTCCATTATACTACTACTTCACTCCATATATTGTGGGCTTGGTTTCGGATGAACTGAAACCAACCCATAACAATGGCATAGTCTGGTTGGGAAATAAACATATTTTGTCTGTGTTTTCCCACTGAAAATGGCAAAATCCTGGCCACTGAGCATTTGCTAGTGCTTTCTCCATCATATTCATCAAACTCAAGAGAGTCTCCATTCTAGACTGAGGTTCATTCCTGTGTAAGCACTGATGACAATCATTGGGTGGTGGTTCTCATCGACAAAGGCTTCTGCCCCATGTGTGGAAGAGCAGATAACTCTTGAGAACTTTCTCCTTCTCTTACAGCTTATCAAATGAAAGAAAAAGAAGTCTTTGAAGAATCTGAAGGCATTGGAATACATTATGCAATTTCCTGGACTTTATGCTACCTCTTGTAAGTGTTATGATATTATTTCCAGTCCCTGGAAAACAGAACTGTACTATAGATGATTACTGTGGGATTTCCTGTTATCTTGGAGCAAATATAGGTTTTATGCTTTCCTTCCTATTAAGGCATTTTAGAAAATGAAACACAGAAAATGCAAGATCTTCTCATAGTGTTGAGGGCCATCTATTCTTGTACTTCAAGAACATGGTTTAGAAAGGGGATCTCCTACTGCCTCTGCCCAGGCAGCCTTCTCATCTTCCAGAAGATATGCTTGTGAAACTAAGACCTACAGCTAGGTTTTCCTCATAGGAGCACAGAAAATACTGCAGGTTTATAGACAGTGTTCCATCAGAAATCCTCATAAAATGCAAGCAGTTGTTTATCTCTTTACAATAATAATAATAATAAAGATTCTGAGTCCCACTGGCTTTTTACTCTTAAACCTAGTCCAGAGCCTGTGATTAGATCTTGCATCTTCCTCCAGCCTCTCTCAGTTTTATGTGAGTGCACCCATCTACTTTTTTGGACTCTCTTGTCTTGTTTCATGTCAGTGAATGGTCACAAGATAGTTAAAGAGTCAGCTTTAGCTCACCTGAATCAGCTTTACAACATCTAGCCTCAAGTAGGGGAGCCATGTAATCCTCACAATAGAGCTCTGTATCTGCTGGCTTCAAACCTGAATGGCTTCTTGAGAGGGTCTGGCAGTCTGTGGTAAGCACTACACTTCTAGAGCTACCTTGCTATCCATATCTGAGTTACCAAATGCTGATTGGGATATGCCTGCGTTGCCTTCAGCATTGACACAGCTATGGGTATGTTCTGAAAGCGTGTAATGCAGTCCCTCTTGCCTGCGACTCAGACCATGTAGTGCTCTTATCTATGCACTTCCTACAGAAACTGAAGTGTGGGAGGAATCTCCTGTACTATTTTGTAGGGAAAGAAGTGCCATCCCTGTAATTGATGGGTACTGTGTAGTCCAGGTGTGAGTCCTTCAGGGACCAGGCATAAAGGACAGGGTAGGGTTTTCAACATGCAAGGGAAAAATGCAGCTATTCCCACAAGCATGTTTATATTAGAGGAGGTGTCTTCCATCCAACACCATCCATAAACCTCTGTTTGTTAATATCTGCTGCTGTCATCCACGTGAGGTGAGGGTACCTGGATGAGCAGTCACCCCAGGTTGTTTGATCAACAGATGATCTCAGGATACCAGAAACAGGGATGTCTCATTTAGCACCTTAAAATTTGCACACAACTAAGTTTTTCCTTGCTAAGGGCTGAATGGGCCTACCATTGGCTAAGCGGCTAAGTATTGATTTACACCCTAGTTTTATCCCCATGAAGTTGGAACTGAGGATAAAGGCCTTTCTCAGGGACGCAAGTTCTCTATTACAGACAAAGCAGGAAAAAATCAGACCCATTATGCAAAAAATCAGCCATGAGCTATTTTCCTTCTGTATGTAGCAGTTAATTAAATGCTGTGTTAGTACTCACTCTAGGTAGAGAACTTTTGCTTCTTATCTCAGAAAATCACTCATAAAATTTACAGTTAATTTCTAATTAGGTTGTTCAAAATATAATCTTGAGAAAGCAGCTATAGCATTTTATGCCATTGCACTGTGGTCTGTATACATCAGTCCGAATGATCCATTAAAGTATTACTAAAACGATAGAATAAATTGCATTTTCACAATATTAAATATACCACAAAGAGTAACTGTGAAAATTGCTGGCATACGCAGCTCATGTAACCTTGGAGCTCAAATTGCTTTTCTAATTTGCTGCCATGATCCTGAAAGTAGACTTCTGTAAAACTATATTTCTGTGTTGGGAGAGGGGACAGGGGGAGAAGCACAGCGGACAAGCATTGACAAATCTATTAAATTACATACCAGACAGAGAAATTATCACATTAAAAAGCCCAAGTCGGTAGAGCTATACCTGACCATTGCAACAGAGAAATTACCGTCAATTCCCGTTATTGCTCTGTCAGAGGTGTCAGTCGCAGCCCGCGCCCGCGGCCGGTCATTTGATGTATTTCCCTGCCTCTCGTGGCACGTGCAGACTGCGAAGAGCGTCAGCTGGGCTGCTGGAAAGCGATTCTGCTTCTCTAGGCTATGGGGAGAGGACCTCAATATACCTGAGAATCTGCTGGTTTACCTACCTCAGAGTGCCAACAACCCGTTTGTGAGACGGGAGAACTACCCCCCATCCCATTAATTTCACTGGGTTGTTCACTTTAATGCTTAGTAATGCCGCTGGAAGTGTTGGTGTAATTTCACGGGTAGTGTAATTGCAAGTTAACTTCGTGGCTGATCTCTTCAACAGATGGAAGCAGGGTGGGGGTGGTGATGAAACCCACAGGAAATGGGTGCTGCTGGAGGAAAACGCAGATGGAAAAAAGGAGACACATAAGAACAGAGAAAGGGGAGAGAGAGAGATCAAGGAACCAGGGGGCATAAGAAACATATGGCAGAGGGAGGATGCTCTGAATGACCACTTTAGAGAAAACTGAACACAACCAAAAAGAATATGAAGAATTAAATATAAATTACAGATACTAAATACTTTAATGGACATTATAAAAACCCAAATGCTATGGTGGTCAGATTCTCTGCGACCAGACATTCTTGCATTCAAGTACCTGCTCCTCAGCAAACCCTTAGGCCATAATTAAAGAGCCTGCATTTTATTTTTGCTGTGGGCCTCATGTTTTCTACAGCCTCCATGCTCCTGAGAACTCCAGGAACAGGACTCAGGCAGAACTTGCTGTCTCAATACAGCCCTGCCACATACTTTTCATCAAATCTCTCAGGACCAGCTTCATTCAGAAATGTTTATATACCTCATCTTAATAGATCCCTTGAGACTTGGCACCTGAGTAACCCAGGTGTCACAATGTTTTGCCTCTCCGTGGTACTGTGAGGATAAAGGACAGATGCTGAGGAAAGGGCCTGGCATATCAGGCCCAGCACCATGCACCCGTGGGCGTTTTGTTGCCAGGACCCAAGCTAACATCTCCACAGGAGATGGTTTTGCTCCACGCAGACACGCCAGCACTCTGCTCTGCTCTGCTCTGCTCCAGATTTCAGGGTGTGACACGCACTCACCCTGAGTGCTGCTATGCCACTTTTATCCCAAATCTAGAGCGGTTGATGAATTTTTTTGGTCAAGAACTTGTCTGCAGTGATTCACACCTCTAGAAATGTAAAGAAGTTGGGAATGTCAAAGGAATCCTTAAAACTGAACCAAAGGGGGCATTGGGGAGGAGGAAAACTCGCTTGAAGCTCATCTGTCTGTGTGGAGCATAGCCTGACCACAGGTGCAGATTTGCTCCTGCTTCCTATGGCAGAGGCTGGAGAGGGCATGTGCAACAATAACCTTGTCAGTCATTCCTTTCTCAGGAGAGTATTTTGTTCACCTAGGTATGCACTACCTAGGTTATCAGAGTTATCAGATAAAAAATGTTATCAGAGTATACAAAGACAATAGTTCAATGTGCATGATTTGTGGACTATACAGTAAGAGGAAAGGAGGCCTAACAAACTAGTGCATCACAAAAGAGTAACTGCAGATTGATTTCAAGGCTGAAGGCCAAATTTAAGTGTTGTTTTCTGTGTTCCCTACGATCACAAAGCGAGGAAGAGAGATGAGAGCCACTGGACTCAGTCAAGGGGTCCCTAATTATTTTAAGAAATCAGGTCGTGTTCTGGGTTTGGGGGTTTTTTTATTCCCCCCTTTTTTACTGAATTTGGTGAACACAAGATTATCCTGAAAAGAAATCAGGCCTGAGGATTTCCATTAATATTCGGGGGAAAAACCTCACAAAGTTTCTGTTAAAGAGTTGGTTCATGCCAGTCCCCTCCCAGGCACATCCTATTTCTATTGCCTATAAACCAAAGAGACTGCAAAGAGCAGAGAGGACTGAAACCACTTTAGTGTGTGAAGTGAGAGCCATTGCTCTAGTTTTTGTAATAATAGTGATTAGATGATATAAAATACCAACTAAATAATTCCTTCAGTAGATATGGAAGTAGGTAATTTGTATTGAAATGTGATTGGTAATTTGTATTCAAACTTAGGTCAGAAAACTTTAACTCAGGCCCCCCAAAGTTTAATAATGGATTTATCGTCCCAGAAATGAGTGTTGTGGTTTTCAGAGATGGCAGGTTGGTCTGCTTTCACTGAATTCAGCCGACATTGCTGAATTGTCTTTTAAAATATACATGCAAGTTTGAAAGTTGTGTCTGGAGCCATTTGCCCAAATGCATCTTACAGAAAATGGTGCTAAGACTCCAGATTTCAGCTCAGAATTTCTGGCCACCTGTTCTCAGGCACAGGATTTGGGCGTACACCGTTCCTAACAGGGAGAAACAGCAAAAAATGTCTAAGTGAGGAGGTTTAGGTTGGACTTTAGGGGAATTTCTTCATAGAAAGGGTGATCAGACATTTGAATGGGCTGCCCAGGGAGGCGGTGGAGTCACCGTCCCTGGAGGTGTTTGCTTTCAGCAAAGTCTGGACGATGGCACTTGATGGTATTCGGTCTAAGGTTGGACTCGATGATCTCAGGGGTCATTTCCAACCTAATCGATTCTGGTAAATCTGTCCTTTTAAACAACGCTACCAAACGACGAAGCATCTCTGGCTTGCAGCGCGAGATGGGAATTTTTTATCTGCACTGTGTTGGATGCGGAGCGAGTCTCATTTAGTAACTCTGTGTGGGTGAGGCTTTCCGGGGCACAGCGAGATAAAGGCTCCAAACATTGTAGCAAACGCGGTCCCAGGGATACCGTTCCCGCTGGGTGCCCAGGGAGCGGGACAGCGCCCGTGTCCCGGCCACCGTGGGTGCCAACGGGCGGCTGGCCGGCCGCGGCCCTGCCGGGCCCTCACGCACTGCGGGCGGGGGGAGGGGGAACCGCGTTCCCGGCCCAGACTGTGCATGTCCGAGTGACGCATTGCAGGTACGAACCCACCAATCAGCGCCCTCCTTACGGAGTCCCTGCACTCCTCGGCATTTTTTCCTAAGATCCCCTTCCGCCCAGGGAAATAGTCCCTCGCCCTGCCCCCCTCCGCACCCCTGCTCCTCTCCACACCGTTTCACAAGCGCAGACCCCAGTTTTTCCTGCGCCTCACCCTTTCGTGCGCCCCGGCTCGGGGGCTTAGGGGCAGAGGGGCCGCGCTCCGGGCGCGGGGGGGCCCTGCCGAGAAGGGCGCGAAGGGCCGGGACTCGTTTCGCATCTCCGCTCGCTGCCGGGGGAAGGGGAGGGGGGAGGGAGCGGCGCGGAGCGATCCGGGCGGGCGGTGAGGCGGTTTATGAGGCGCC